AACTAAAATGAGTAAATTACACGAATGGTTCCTATGGTTTGGGGTAATTTTCACGTTTGGTCCCTAACTTATTTTTTTAACTCAGAACGTCCCTACAGTTTGTTTTTTTTTGCGCGCTTGGTCCCTATCTTACCTAAAAAGACTATTTTGCCCTTGAGTTTTTAATTTATTTAAATAAGGTGGGGTAGGTAAGGTAAGGTGAGGTGGAAGTGGGGTTGGGGTGTGTTTATTTAAATAAACTAAAAAATCAATGGCAAAATAGTCTTTTTAGGTAAGATAGGAACCAAGTGCGCAAAAAAAACAAACTGTAAGGACCTTACGAGTTAAAAAAATAAGTTAAGGACCAAACGTGAAAATCACCCCAAACCATAGGGACCATTCGTGTAATTTAAACTCAATTAAAATCTACCTGCCAGAATAAAATTTCTTGAACAGGGGCAGAGGTGGGATGGCCTTCAGGCCACATTGGAATGATGATGTAAACCGCAAATCTCTCATTTGCCCTTATCTTACTAGTAATCTTTAATGTAATCTCCATTGGTATTAAATGATCAGCACCTAACAATACAAAAAAAAAAGTAACCATTTTCCTCAAAATCAAAAAAGGATAAAGTAACACATTAATTAATTAAGATCATAAAATGAGAAAAAAAAATTCAAAATACATGTTATGAAATGTAGAAGATTGATGAAGATTTAGATAGAAAGTGCACAACCTGCATCTTTATGAGATAGCCATCCGTATGATGACCCGAGAAAATATTGATTCTCAATATAGATGAACTTCTTTGCAGATCTTATGGCTTGAATGTAGGCTTTTTGAATGCTCTTATCAATCACAAGATGTTTTGCACAAACTAGTTTCTGCAATACGTAAAAGCAGTTATTTCAACACTGGACATGTCAATATATATTCAATTCTTGTAAAAGATTTCGATAATGTCAACAAACTAGTTTCCACCTATGTGATTCAAACTTTTTTCAAAAGGTTTCAACCACTCAACTTTCAATTTGGTTCCATTGTTGTAATATCGTGTATTTATTTTGTTGACGTGGCAAATTCATTGATACAATTTCATAACTGGTATGAAGTTGAGTGGAACAAGTGTGAAATTTGATTGATACTTAGTGATAATTGTCTCATTTCTTTGTAACAAAAATAAACCTGATTTTCAGCTTCTCGAGCATCTTTTGGAAATCCTCTCAACGAGCCAGAATCGATTGAGCGGAAAACCTGTGAATGAGTTAAAGAAATCGCAATAAATCAATTTTGAAAAAGAATTACAGAACAACGATTAGATTTTGAACAATTTTTCTCATATTTGAAGAATGATGAACCTGAACATGCCAGTTTTGAGGATCGTTGTCTCTTGAAAGCCATGAAGCAGGAGCATCTTCTGGAAGATCAGAGGAAGGATTGAGTATCCATGAAATGCGTTCTATTTTAAGCAACGCATCTTCATGACAATGAGATATTCTTTTGAAACGGCGTCCAAGTTCAGACCATCTTGTGGCTTTTCTCCATCTTTGCTCGAAGTTTGTGAGAACATCGTATGCAGCTGGACCATCGATTTTGCAATGTAAATCATGCCATGGTTCCCTTGGAGCACGTGTACCTGACTATTTATTCATGATTTTGAAAATTTTACCCTAATTTGGATAGCATTTATGTAATTTACTAGATTTTTCGTACTACAGTGTTGTAATACGAGAGCTAAAATAGACAAAAAGGTTGAAAATGTAGTTGAAATAATGATTCATAAACTTACAGAAAATGTTGGATTGTGAAAATCGGTGGCGAATACAGTGTCGACATCTTGAAATAGACGATGATCTGGTGTGTCATAGCGTCCATCGCAGAGGTCCAATCCTCCAATAAAAGCGGATATTTTCCTGTAATTTCCTTGGGCGAATGTATCCACTATCACACATTTTTGATGATGAGTGTATAGAGTTCCAACAACCTGTATGATTTAAAGGGACCAATTATTATCAAATATCAACCTCGGCTATAAGCTACCAAATTAATAAGATTATAATAAAAAAATGAAATGTAAAGGGTTACTTTTAGAAAACAAAACTATAATGTCAACTAGTTGCATGTTCATTTCATTCTATATAATTATATAAAGTAAAATGATGAACATTATTGTGACTTTTAGCTGTTGTAGATTTTCGCATTCATACACATGGACAAAATGTTATTAAAGAAACCATAATAACCTAAAGTACTAGAACCTTTTGAACTTGCACATGGCAATAATCTAATAGAAAATTCTGTGAATTGAACACGTTAATAAAATATGGAAAATGGTCAAAAGAACATGCCTGTTGTTTAATAATGCTAAGCTTAGTGCTTGCATATCGGGGAGACAATACACAATGTACAGATGAGTGTTTGAAAAACTTCCGAGTATCTTCATCATGAGTTTGCATCACTCCTTCCTGTTTACACAATATTAACAAAAAAAATCATAACAAAGTCAAAGACTTCATATCTTCTTTTTCTATTTGTTCCTTTCCAATTTCATAATTTCTACTTTTGGTCATGATTTGGCACATTTTATTATTTTAAAACCTTTGTTTGAATGACAATGTTTTCGTCTTGACATGTAAGACAAATGTTTGTTAAATTACCTAACCTACGCATTAATAATAAAACTGATGGAATATCACATACCAAACTCAATCATATTGTCTACCCAATTCAAGAGCATCAATTAATGTGCAATATAATGTTTGAACATTTATTTTATATTTGATATGTCCAAAACCATTGCATATAACTCAAATTGTAACAACAGACGTGACACCTTTTTTGATAGTTAATTCACAGAAATATTATAAGATGTGTAAAAAATTCGATTTAATGTAAGGAATCATGAAGAATAAGATTGAATGAACATGAAGTAAAAACCCATAATGCCAGAAGGGATAATTGAACAAATACCGTTTTAATGAAGAATTTGTTGTGTGAAGTCTTATCATCCCAAACAAGCAACAAAACCCTCACACCTTCTTCTGATTTGTACTTCAACAACTCACCAAGAGTCAAATCTCCACCATTTGGCAATGGCATGTTTGGCTCTCTGATCAGCTTCACCTTATCGTAAATCGACCACCCAACAATGTACACAAGATGATGTGCTTCCAGTATAGCATGACAAATATCTTCCCAACACCCCCTCTGCTTAAAGAAATTACACTCTCCACCCTCTTCTCCTCCATCCAGTTCAATTTCCGGTAACGTCCCTTCCACCGTGTGAGCATCCTGATACAGAGTCACACTCCCACCGGATCTCACCGGAAAATAACTATCCCTCAAGCAAAAGGACTCCTCGCCCTCGATTGATTGATCGTTCTGCTCTTCACAAGAGGTATATTGGAGCTGTAATCGTATCGCGCAATTAGGCTTTGGTTGTTTACCAGATGGACCGATAATTGGGAACCAATCGTCAATAAGCTCCCCGGATTGAATCCTTTCGGCGGAGATCATAGCCACACCGATCAATTCAGCACCGAAAACATCATTATCTTTTATTTGAATCTCCACATGAGTTACCGGATGCGCGACTGGCGTAACGAAATGCTCGTCCCACACAGGGTCCTGTGAGTTAGGGATCACGCGCGTCCGTGCGACGGTGGCACCGGCGAGACAGACGGATGCGTACGGGTCACAGGTAACGAATCTACGTCGGCGCGGCGTTCCTTTCTTCGATGACGCCGTCGGTGGTTTCGAAGGTTCGAGAGCGTTTAAGCAACGTCGAACACGTTGCGTCAATACGTCCATGTTCGGCAAACATTGAGCTTCGGATATCGTAAATTCTAAGACTCCATGAAGATAAATGATCGGATCTGAGTCTGAATCACCGCTACCCATTAGCAACAACATTGGATTTTATTTTTATTTTTTTGCTCTGTAAAATGTGATTAAAGGAAGTGCAATGGCGTTTTCTCACGCCGGAGAAATTGACGAAGGTAATAAGTTGGTGGTGCCGTCGCACTTCCGGCGTACTTCCAGCGGCGGAGGATACTAAAAATGGCAAGTCTGCGGCGGAGAAGGTGGTCGAACTATTGGGCAACGAAATCGTAAAACTCCTGAACACGTGCAGAGCCAAATTAGAATTTTAAATATTTTTGAATAAAAAAATGTTTACCAAATAAACATAGATTGCACACGTACGTTGAAAGCCTTTTGTATGATCACTTCAAAAGAATAAAATTTTATTGATTGTACATGGAATTGGTTGTTAATAACTTAATTTAATTTTAAAACTAATATTGTTATTTATAATAAACTGTTAAATATTATTTGAAAATATATTCATAAAAAATAGAATTGGTTGAGAATATATGTATTTTTAGAGCAAATTGCAAATTTGCAATAGAAAATGATTAATCTAAATATCGTAAAAGAAGCCTTTCGTGTTGACCTGTCAACAATTATTTTCTAATTGTTAAATATAAATTATATAAAATAAATATTTTATATACTAAACTTATTATAAAATATACGTGGTTAAGATAATTAGTATTTTAATAAAAATAATTTCAAATGTAAACATTTGAATATATTTAATATCTAGATTTCAACATGCTTAAATTGCTCGACCAAAATTATTTTTAACTAATTTTTTAATAAAACGTACAAGGGTGTATAAATATTAGGAATGACTAAAAGACTACAATTAATGGTGCCCTATTTGTTACTCTTCAAGCTTTTTTTTTTTCCTTACGTGTGAGTAAGTCTTTTCTAACAAAAAATATCTCAATGAATATATATGCAATTGTGTGAAATCAATTTCCCAGAATTGTATATATTCAGCATTACAAAACCAAAATTGGTGTATAATATTTATTTACAACATTCTTCAAAAGAAAATACATTTAAAGAAATCCTTGTGACCATTTACACATGACTCAAACAAATCAAAAAAATATTAAATAAAAGAATTCTCCACAAAAAAGACCAATAAATCTTATAATTCCAAAAAAAAAAATTAAATATCATGCAATTGAAGAGGCTTAAGTTGAGGCATGGTTCTTCTCTTCCACAGATTAATTTCCTTTCTTGGCTCCAAATTTAAACCTGCAACTGTCATGAATTTATCATCAAACCCTTGATTTCTCATCACCACTGGAGCAGAAGAAGGCATTTTAATCTCTTCATCATCACTTTCTTCATCGGAATAATAACTCCGACCACCGGAATCCATGGCTGCAGCCTCTAATTTTGTCCAATCAATATTCGAAAGCTTACCCCGACCACTAGAAAACCGCTTCATCGAGCTCAAACTTGGAGTTTTGTCAAGATACAATGGAGCCTTTGACCTTTTATCATCAAGATCTGGTTTTCTTCTACTGCTGCCGGGGGTAATCGAAATCCCACCAAATATTTTCTTAAACCCTAACTTTTTCTTGCTCTTACTTTCAGTTTTCGATGAATCTTCATCATCCTCGACGTTATATGTCCTCGCCGGCGTGAAAGATGTTGCTCGTGAAGCTTTATCTTTGGGTTTTACTTTTACAGAGTTAGTTGCTTTGTTGCCGTCTACGCCGTTCCCATGGCGGCGTTGTAGCTTTTCTTTTTGATGCTTGCACTTGACTTGACCCATGCATGAAACTCTTGGGGAAGTGGGTTCGTAGATGATGGTGTAATCTGAATTGTTCTTGATTTTCCGGCGAGTATCAGCCGGAATCATGGAAACCAGGGGACCGGAGAAGCCAATTCCGAGATTGGATTTATGGGTTTTTTCCGATGATCTCTTGTCTTTCGCCGGACTGTAAATCGGAGGGTTTTGAAACGTAACCGATGATGTTGCTCTTGGTAGAAACTTCAAGAGTGTGTTCTTTGCTTTTGCTGATGATACCTTTTGTTGATCCATTTGCTTATGTATGATCGAATCTTATCTTCAAGAATGAAATAATGACTAATGACATACTTTTTGGGTGTATATATATTGTGATCCAAGGAAAGAGAGAGGAAGGTAGGTGGTGGGGGAGAAAAGTCACGAACTCCGGCGATATGAAGTGAGACAAAATTAGGGTAACGTGTTTAGAATAAAAAAGTCAATAGTAAAACTTAGGTTAAGTTAACCTAGTTTGACTCATTTGAAGGTTATTTCATAAAACTAGCCCCTACACTTTTGATAGTTTAATATACGGTCCAAAACTTTCTTGGGTTGTTGTATATACATATGTAAACATTTTAATTGACAATTGTTGGATGACTTGGATTAGGTATAAAAGTGGATCGGACACACAATTTAACTTGGGTCTTGGTATATATATTACTAATTATCATTAAACATTCTCTAACAAACATTGATTGTATAGGAATACTCGTCTTTATTCAATTTTACTTAACATATTTATCTAATTGCGAGTTTTAAAAGCAAGAAAATACATCATGTTTATATTATTTTACCAAAATATGAATAAGCATCTTTATGTATAGAAACTTATACCTTTTTACCAAATACTATATGTAGGACAAAATTACAAAAATAATCTTTGCCATTTGTCAAAAGTAACAAAATCAGTTCCTGCTAATTTTTTTGATGCAAATGGCCCCTGTGGTTTGCAAAACTTGCATAGATGGTCATTTTTACTAATACCGTTACTATTATGCCGTTAGAGACTGAATTCGTAAGGGTATTTTCGTCTTTTCAAGTATAAAGGGATTGAATTTGAGACATTTACTAAACCATACGGATCATTTTTTAAATTTCTTTGAAAAAATAATTAAATTGCTAAGGGGAAGGCTCAAACTCATGATCATCATCCCTTAAATTACCAAAGCCTTAACCAATTGAGCTGAATGCTCTTTTGGTTTATTCTTTTTTAAAATTAATTTATATACTAACAAAATCGTTAAAACATAAACAATAAATAAATTATAAAAAAACATTTTTTTACATATTTTTTTTTAAATAAAACAAAATGTATTTTAGTTGTACTATAAAAAAAATAGTTTTTTACAAACAAATTGTATGTATTTTTATGTATTTATTTTATGTAAATTATATATTTTTATCTTTAAAAAATACGTTTTCGTATAAAAAATATGTTTTTTGTAAGAAATGTTTTTTTTATGTCTTTGAAATAGTAATAATTAACACTACTCATGACATTAAAAAATGTATAAATACTTTTGGGTCGCTAGTTATAAAACCGTTTTTTCGGTTATTTGTATTAGAAATAAATTAACAACGATTTTGTTATATATCTAAACAAGTTATACGGGTTTTTTTATAGCAAGAATAGTGTTGATAATTGTTATTTCAAAAAGATATATCACTATGTCTTTCCATCTTCATTTTAAACATACGATTTAGAACTTGTGATTAAAATGAAATATGTATTTTAAATAAGATATATCACCAATACGTTTTTTTAAATACATATAAAAAACCTTACGTATCTTAAATAAGATATATATATATATATATATATATATATATATATATATATATATATATATATATATATATTCGGTTATATATATCTAAACAATTTATACGGTTTTTATGTTTTTTTAAATACGATTTAGAACAATATGTATTTTAGATAAGATATATACGCATAAATTGTTTAGATACATAACAAACTCGTTGTTAGTTTGTTTTTAATACATATAACCGAAAAAACGATTAGAACTAGCGATCCAAAAGAATGTATATATTTTTTATGTCATGAGTAGTGTTAATTATTACTATTTCAAAGACATAAAAAACATTTTTTACAAAAACGTATTTTTTATACGAAAATGTATTTTTTAAAGACAAAAAATATATTTTTTACATAAATAAATACATAAAAATACATACAATTTGTTTGTAAAAAACTATTTTTTTATAGTACGACTAAAATACATTTTGATTTATTTAAAAAAAAAGTTATGTACAAAAATGTTTTTTATAATATATTTATTGTTTATGTTTTAACGATTTTGTTAATATACAAATTAGTTGTAGAAAAAAATAAATCAATAGAGCATTCAGCTCAATTGGTTAAGGCTTTGGTAATTTAAGGGGTGGAGATCATGAGTTTGAGCCCTCTTCCTAGCAATTTAATTGTTTTTTTCAAAGAAATTTCAAAAATTGTCCCTGTGGTTAAGTAAATGTTACGAATTCAATCTATTTATACTTGAAAAGACGAAAATGTCCTTACAGATTCAATCCCTAACGGCAGAATAGTAGTAAAAAAGGATCATATATACAAGTTTTGCAAACCACATGGGCCATTTGCATCAAAAAAAATTAACGTGGACTGATTTTGTTACTTTTGACAAATCACATGGACCATTTTTGTAATTTTATCTATATGTAATGAAGGATATTCATTAGCAATTTATGGTCATTATTGAATTTGTTCAAACTTTTTTTTTATCAATTTATGTATGCATAAATTGGTATGCTTTAATTAAATTAGTGTTCTAAAGCCTGAAGGAAAAAAGGATAATATTATGATTCCAAAACCTATGAATGTTGGTTTTTAAAATAATTAATTTTGTTACCCATAAAAGATTAAAATAGCATGTTGTTGTACGTGTAACTTCCATCTTGATATCGACATTTCTTTGATTTGCAATCTAAGGATTCACAATCATTTGTCCTTTGAGCTTAACAAAACATTCACGTGTAACAAACTTACTAATATATGTATCGTTTTACCAAAATGTAACATTAATTTGCTCTGAATGTTTATAATCATGTATCCGTGTACGTAACCATAGTATGATGAACTATGTTGTGGTTTTTTTAGGTCTAGCCACTAAAATGATTGTGTTTAATTAATCAAACTTCACATTTAAAATTTGGAGGAGACATGCGAAACAAAACGAAAAGTAATGGGGTGGGATGTAAATAGCCATGCTGTAAATCTCCAACTACGACTAAACTAGAGTTCTGACTTCCAGCTAAGCATGTAGACGTGGTAATCAACATTACTAATTATTTATTTCTCGTATGAAACATAAAGGTAACGATAATTATTGACTTTTGCAATCTTAAATTCTTTATGTTGGACTGTGAGTTACTCTATTGCGGCTAAATAAAATATTAAATGTTTTTAATTGTATTTTTTTAATAATAATAACAATAATACAAATAGCATTCATTCTTAAATAAAAGCATCGCTATTAGTAAGAGAAAACTTGTCACCCCTCGATCAATTTTTGCCATTTTTTTTTTCAAAATAGTTAAAAGAATGTTATTGTATTTAGGATTTTTAAAGAATTCTAAACAAATTATAATATGTTGCGCGTTTGACCTTATTTCACAGTCATGGTAGGTGGCAGGCGCAGGAATAAATAAAATTTTGCGAAAACCACGTGAACGTTATATACGCATAGCACACGTCCGCGATTTGCACGTGTGCAGAACATTGAAAACCAATTCTAAAAGTTTATTTTTGATCCATCCATTCTTTGGTGAAAAGATTCGTTTTTAAGTTTTCTCAAAAGGATTAGGTTGCGTTTAGTTACGGAAAAACAATTTTTATTTTCCGTTTTTTGTTTTTCCTTTTCAATTTTCATTTTCTGTTTTCATTTTTCATTGAAAAATTTAGAGAACGCGTTTAGTTAAACTTATTCATTTTTCATTTTCAGTTTTAGAAAATTAGAAAACGTGTTTAAATGTCTATTTTTCTATCGGTTTTCATTTTTAAAAAACGGTAGTGGTAGTAGGGTGTGGGTGGGGGCGGTGACGGTAGCGGGTCGGCGGCGGTGGTGGTGATGACAGGCGATGGTGGTGGCGGCGTCAATTTTATCAGTGGTGGTGATGGTGGTGGTGCTAGTGACGGGTTAGTGGTGGTGGTGGTGATGGTAGGTCGGTGATTGTTGTGGTGGTGTTGGGTGGGTGGGGGTGCGAGTGTGTGTTTGTGTGTGTATGTGTGTTTGTGGGGGTAGGTGTAGGTTTGTGTGTGTGTGGGTGTGTGTGTCTGTGAGGGTGGGGGTAGGTGTGGGTGTGTGTGTGGGTGTGTAGGTATGTACGTGTGTGTGTATGGGTGGGTATGTATGTGTGTGTGTTTGTGGGTGGTGTGTGTGTGTGTGTTTGTGGGTGGGTGTGTGTGTGTATGTGTGTGTGGGGGGTGGGTGGGTATGTATGTGTAAGTGTGTGTGTTTGTAGGTGTGTGTGTGTGTGTGGGTTGGTGTGTGCATGTGTATGTTGGTGGGTGTGTGTGGGTAGGTATGTATGTGTGTGTGTTTGTGGGTGTGTGTGTGTGTGTGGATGGGTATGTATGTGTGTGTGTGGGTTGGTGTGTGTGTGTGTGCGGGTGGGTGTGTGTGTGTGTGTGCGGGTGGGTGTGTGTGGGTGGGTATGTATGTGTGTGTCGGGGTTGGTGTGTGTGTGTGTGGGTTGGTGTGTGTGTATATGTGTGTGTGTTTGTGGGTTGATGTGTGTGTGTGTGTGTGCGGGTGTGTGTGTGGGGGTGGATATGTATGTGTGTGTGTGGGTGAGGGGTGTTAAGGTGGGGGTAGGTAGAAGTGGATGAGGTGAAGTGGGTGTGTGTTTATAGAAAAATTTTGGAATTAGAAAAATATGGAAAACAATGATTATCAGTTTTCCAAAATTTTCCAACTTGTTTGTAATTTTAAAAAACAGAAAAATTTCATTTTCCGTGAAAAATTTAGAAAAATAGACGAACTAAACGCGTTTTCAAAATTCTCATTTTTCTTGGAAAATTTTTCCGGAAAACGGTTCATTTTTCCGCAACTAAACGCACCCTTAGGTTGCGTTTAGTTACGGAAAACAGTTTTCATTTTCCGTTTTTTGTTTTCCCTTTTCGGTTTTCGTTTTCCGTTTTCATTTTTCATTGAAAAATTTAGAAAACGTGTTTAGTTAAACTTATTCATTTTTCATTTTCAGTTTTAGAAAATTAG